GTTGTGCTCTGTGAGGGCCTGCTGGGTGTGTGTGAGGGTGACTATGTGTGTGTGTGGGTGTTGGTGTGTGTTGTGTGTGGGTGTGTGTGCTTGTGGGTGTGCGGTCCTTGTGAGTATGCATATATGTGTACGCTCGTGTGCACTTGTTCCGTGCGTGGAGCCCTCGTTGTGTATGTGCGCGCGCGCACTAGTGTTTTACTGGGTTTACCTGGAGAGAGTTCCGGGGGTCAACGCCCCCCGCGGCCGGTCTGAGACCAGGCATCTGTGGATCAGAGCTGACAACCAGGCTGTTGATGTGGCATGCCGACAACCAACTACGAGCCAAAGCACGGGCTGATCCGGAACTGACTTTAGGTGCTTATTGTCCAGGAAAGCTTGAAGACGGCCAGGGGTATTGTTGGTAATTCCCCCTTATGTGTGTGGGAGGCGTTGAACGTCTCGGGCCCTGACACTTATTGTGTGGTCTCTTAACGTGCTAGTGACACCCCTGCTTTCTTGGGGGATGGTGGCATCGACTGCAAGTCTTTTTCTTTCGTAGTGGGTGATTTTCGTGTGCAAGTTCTGTACTAGTCCCTCTTGGATTTTCAGGTGTATATAATCATGTACTCTCCCTCCTGCGCTTCCAGGGTTTACAGGTTTTAGGAACCTCAGACGCTACCAATAATTGAGGTGGTGTTTTATCTCCGTTATGCGCGCGTTGAAAGTTCTCTGTACATTTTCTAGGTCGGCAATTTCCCCTGGGGCCCCTTGAAATAGGTGCTGTTTTGTGTGCAAGCAATAGTCCAGCCTACGATAGAACAAGTGAAATGTAGAGTGTCATCCATGGGCTTGGCACTCCTTGGTTGAAGGTTCTCATCTATCAATCTGCTCATTTTTTCATGCAGATGCGAATTGATACAATGTTATGGTCTTGAAGGTGAGATCCTACGACTTGATCACTCCCAGGTCTTTTGCGTTGGTGTTTCGCTCTATTTTGTGGCCAGAATTGTTTTGTACTCTGATGAGGATTTAATTTTCTCATGTTTACCATATCTGAGTAGAATTGAAATTATCATCGTTGAACTTCATATTTGTTTTCTGCAGCCACTGAAAGATTTGGTTGATGTCAGCTGGTAGCTTTGCAAGTGTCTGCAATGGAAGATCACTGTCATGCAGATTCGGGTGTTACATCTGCTAAGAAGACACGGTTGTGTGGCTGACATCTTGTCTATGTCGGAGTATAAGATGAGGAACAAGATGGGAGAGAGTACTGTGCCTTGTGGAACAGAGCTTTTCACCGTAGCTGCCTGGACTTTACTCTGTTGACGACTACTCTCTGTTATGTTCTGTTAGTAGGAAATTTTAGTTCCCCATAGACGACTTTTATGTTATTCCTTTAGCACGCATTTTGTGCGCTATTAGCCATGGTCACATCTTGTCGAGGCTTTTGCAAAGTTGTATTATTACATCTGCATTCTTTTTGTCTTCTAGTGCATCTTAGGACCTTGGTCGTATTTGGTCCAATAGTTGAGACAGTCAGGAGCGATCTGTTCTAAAACCATGTTGCCCTGGGTTGTGTTAATCGATGGGTTTCTTAGATGGGTCGTGGTGATCTTGCTTGTTGGAACTTTCAAGATTTTTATGATATGGGAGGTTAGTGTATTGGTCTGTAGTTCTTTGCTGTTGCTTTACTGCCCCCTTTTGTGGAGTGGGGCTATGTCTGTTCGTTTTTGTAACTGTGGGATCGTCCCGTGTCCATGCTCCCTCTCCATAGGATGGAAATGGCTCGTGTTAGGGGCTTCTTGTCAGTTCTTGATGAACACAGGAGTTCCATGAGTCTGGCCAGGTCGGCAGAGTGCATGGGAATGTCATTTATCGCCCTGTTCGAGTCATTTGGTGTCAGGATAACATCGGATTAGGCTTGTGTTATTCAATTTTTGTGGCTCTCTACATAAAATATTTATTTTGATCTTCGACTATCGTCTGGTTAGCGGCCTTGCTAAAAAACTGAGAGTATATTGGGACTTGAGTTGCTATCTTTATTCCTTGTTGTCATCTGTGTAGGACCCATCTTGTTTAGTAGGGGCCAATACTTGACGTTGTTCTCGATTTTGATTGGCATTCAGGAGATGATATACTTTGGGTTTCTTTCGATTTCATTTAGGCTTTTAGTTTTCCCGCGATTCATGACTCCCTAAAGGATTCTTTAGCTGAGTTCGGTGACTTGGCTAATTCTCTGACCAGTGTCTCCCTACGCATTTCAGTTATAATTGGACCTCTTTTAGCCGCTCTGTTTTTCTTTTCCGTCGCCTGTAAAGGGAGCGCTGTATCTTTACTGTTTTAAATATCTACTCCTCCTTTTTCTTAGAGGAATAAGCCTTGTGCATTCATCGAGTCTACGAGTTAATCTGTTCTAGGCATTAGTTGGAGTCTGTGTTGACTTAGTATTTCTTCCCAGCTTTATATAGGTTAGGACTTGGTTGACTTGGTCCCACTTTATGTTTTTGTTTTGAAGTTGAATTTGGTGATGGCTCCCCTCGTGACTAATCTCATTATGTCGGTATGGGCTCCGCGCATACATGACTGATCTCAATTTATGTTGTGATCTGAGTATATTGTTTTTTGATATGGTGACATTTCTTATCAGTTTAATGGTTAGTGAAGATGAGGTCTAGTGTATTCTACAGTCTAGTGGACACTATTGTTTTGCTGGTTTATATTGAATTTTGTGACAGAGATTTAAAACTCGCGTGACGTTGTGTTTCATCAGGAGCTGCCTACTGGTGTTATTACTGCAAACAATATTATTTGATATGTTCCTCATTTTAGGTGCCTTAAGTTGAAATCCCCCAGGGAGCAAGATGTTGGGTGCTGGAGCTGGAAGGTTTTCCAGACAGTTGGTCAATTTTTAACAGCTGTTCATGCGAATTGCTTGGAGATGTTGCATCCGAGGGGCTTGTAGGACTATCACAATGACTAGGTTTTGGTTCTCGACCTTTCTGCTAATATTCCACTACTTCATTTGAGGCATTTAGCAGTTCTGTGCAACAAGTGACTCTGCAAATGTTCAGGCCATACCCCCCAACCTTTTGTGTTCCACTCTGTAACTTATGTATTTGGTTGTAATCTGGGATCCATATTTCGTTGTCCAAAGTGTTCCATTATGTTGGTATCAGTGAATAGCCGAGAACATTTGCTTTGCTCCACTGACAAGCAGTCCCGGATGAAAGGCTATTTTGTTGTTTGTTGCTGGCTTTAGACCCTGATTTATTTGCAAAGAAGAATGTTAACGGACTGGTGTATTGTTGGATAACTTTTGGTCTAGGGGGGGGATTTTTTTCCGGCATTTGTATCTGTATCTGTTGGTTTGGAGTGGAGGCATCGGACTGTGGTTCACTCCAGGAATGACTGGATTTGGATGTACGATTCTGCCATTTGCCAGTTTTTTTTTCCTTCCTGGCACCTAAATAAACCTCTCCATCTTGAGTGGCTGTGGCTACCCAGGTTATTCCTGGCATGGAATGTTTTTGTATCTTTTTTTCCCCTTTAGTGGTATGCTGGCAATTTAAAGTTTATAGCACAGTCTTTTCCTGTACTGAAGAGGTACACAGTTAAGGGTGAAAAAGAATCTTTCAGGAAGGGAGTTTGAATTTTCCTGGTTGTCATTTGGCATGGCATTTCCTAGGGTGGTCATAGTTGCACTCCTTCTGTTTTGCAGATTTCATGCCAGCGTTACCGAGTGCATGTTTGTGCACAGGTTGGTTTTCCGTTTGCTTGGTTTTCTGTGACTGTATTCCCTGTTGGTGCATGTTTCCTTGTCTTACTTCTATCCTCCCCTAGCACCAACAATGGAGCTCACACATTTGTGTTTGGTAATCTTTCATCACTATTGCTAGTGGGTGTATGATCCATTAAGATGTGTATTTTATAAATCTTACAATTGTGACCAGGTGTGAAGTATCAGTGGTTCACTTACCTTTGTAATTTGTTCATGACTCTGTTAACCATGTATAGGAGTGAAGCTGATTCATTACCTCTGTAACTTGCCATGATTAGTGGACCAGATCTACCGGAGTTCATTACCTTTGTAACTAGTTCAGCTATTCATAACTTTGGGTCCAGTCACTGGACCCATTTTTGTACCTTTGTATCTTTGAATACCGCCCACAGGATGGGTATGGGGTGCATAAAGATATTACTAAAGTGTGTGTGTGTGTTGTGTGTGTGTGTGTGTGTGTGTGTGTGTGTGTGTGTGTGTGTGTGAGTGGTGTGTGTGTGTGTGTGGTGTGTGGGTGTGTGTGATCTCAACAATCAATATTGGCTCTAATACATTACTGTTGATGACCGGGTGGTGGAAGTGTGAATTGCTCTTTACTCTATAATAATTTGTTCATGATTGTAGCCAAAGTATAAACGTAAGTAATCATTTCATACAGAATTCATTACCTTTGTAACTTGTGAGCTCATTACCTTTGTACCTAGTTCAGCTATCAAAACTTTGGGGGCCCAGTCCCTGGACCCATTACGTACCTCTGTAATCTGTAAATACCTTTGTAACTTGTCATGATTGTGACCAGACTTACCTGGAGTTCATTACCTTTGTAAATTGTGAGTTCATTACCTTTGTAAATTGTGAGTTCATTACCTTTGTAAATTGTGAGTTCATTACCTCTGTAACTTGCTCAGCTATCAAAACTTTGGAGTCCAGTCCCTGGACCAATTATGTACCTCTGTAATCTTTTGACTACCGCCCACAGGATGGGTATGGGGTGCATAATAAACATATTAAACTAACTAAAAATAAACTGCCACCTGGGAGTGAACTTATCCTCCCAGGTGGTGCATGACCCCTACCGGTTGAGTACTCATCATGAGTAGTACTGATAGTGATGGTGTAGTAGTGTCATCTAGTGGTGGTAGTCAGAGTTAGTCAGGTTATCAGTGATGGTGTTATGGTGAAGGTCAGTACAGTGACCAACCTCAAGGACACTAAAGGTCAGTTGCTCCTCCTCCTGCCGCCCCGTCGGCTTTACCGCATCCTCAGGCTCTTAATACACCTAAACAACGTAAGTATTGTCTACTGGCGTGTTTGTAAGTACAACAGCAGAGTTGAGCTGCAGCTCCTGGTCCCCGCCACCAGTTTGGTCACTATATTATTTTAGTCTTAATTTTCTTTGGGGTCTAATGTCTTGGGGTTGGGGGGAAATTGACTTCAGTGGAGGGGTTTTGATGCGAGGAACTGGAGCTACTCCCCTTCCTCTGATCAAACAATAAACTCTCACACTAGGCGTTACATAACCCATAATGATGTATGTAGTTCTAGGCTATTTTTTTCTATTATTGACAAATAACATAGTAAAGGTCTCTTGATCCAAGTAACTTGCGCCTTGTGATCCAGATATAGGCTTACATGTAAACAAATTGTTAGTCATCAGGTTAATGTGTAAGACATATTAAAGAAAATAAATATAGTTTTACTGTGTTAAAACATTAATGGTTATATCAGTTAGGCGAGTAATGTTATTAGTTTATATTACATGGTAATGTTTGTATATATGTTGATGGTTATAATGTTTCTTTGCGTATATATGTGTAATGTTGATGGTTATATTGTTCCAGGTGTAGTAATTGTTGCTCTGGCTGTCTGTTGCAACAGTGATCAACAAAGCAACATTGACCAGTCTGAGGAGTGGAGACAACCACACTAGTAAATGGTCTGACCCATAACATTTAGTGTTATACCTGGAGCATACTTGGAGAGGGTTACTCCAGGTATGTGGAGATGCAGCAGCTGGAGACGACGGTCAGAGATGGGCAGGGCCCACTTGTAAGGTATTTCCAGGTTATAAGTCCACTCAAGTTTGGTTATTGAAGCAGATATTAATTGTATTAGGTGGGAAGGTGGTGGTGAAAATATAAGACTTTGTAAGGAATTGACATCAAAAGTAGTTTTAGTACGAAGTATTAGCTTATCTCCCGACCAGAGATGAAATCTCTGGCCAGGAAATAGAGGAATGTATTCTGTAGGTTACCTTGAATGGGATGGAGATAAAAAGTTAAGCTTAGAACTATAGACTGATTTAGATTTTAGGAAGTTTTAGTTAGTCTAATGTCTTCGTTATGCAGCCTATACCATCCTGCAAGAGTGTAAGAAGCAGAGGTGAAATGTTTAAGTGACATTATGGCTCGGTTGGTAGTGGCCCACGTCAACTGAAGAACCGGGATTCGATAGACTGGTTATAAATTACCATAATTTTTAAAGGGGTGGACCGGTAAGCCAGCGGAAGGCCTCGGTCAGATGACCAAAAGCTCCAAAGGCGGGTCATCATCTGACTAAGACCCGCGTCAGGAAACATTTGTCCTGTTTCCTGACGAACCTTACCTAACCGGGATTCGATCCCGGGTACAAGTGGGCATGTTCCCTTGTATCCATTGGCACTGTTCACATAAGAAAGTAGGAACACTGCAGTAAGCCTGGGCATACGTGATTGGGTAATTCTATGTTAATCTACTGGGTTAATAATTATACTAAGATAGTGTGATGAGGGTAATGGCAAAGGTCTTGATGCTGGGTGTAAGGAAAGCCTATTAAATCAGGCATATCCATTAAGAAAGAGCACTGAAGCATGCCTATTGACCCATGCTAGGCAGGTCCAACTCTCAACCACTCATTTATCTAATCTGTTTTTAAAACTATACAACCAAAGATTTAGCTTCACATGACGGGATAAATTTTCCTTAGGCAGAATATATTATAGCCAGAAAATCAATAACAATTCCTCAGAAATGTTTAATTAACTGCATCATCCTATTTTCAGTAGGGTTGTAGAGGGCCTGGCCAAGTAATCTTATGCTTTAAAGTCCCAAAAGTATTTTCAGTAGCATAACCTTGTGGGTTTAGCGTTTACAACTCCAGAATCTATAAGAGCAACTCGGGGGGGGGGGGTGAGCATTTTCTAAAATTGGGCTATAAAGTAAATATTTAGAGAGACTTTGTAGGCTGATTGATCTTGCCTAGAACCCCCTTGATCTTACCTAAACTCCCCTTTATCTTTCCTAGACCCCCCTTGCCCTTACCTAGACCTCCCTTGCTCTTACCTAGACCTCCCTTGATCTTTCCTAGACCCCCCTTGATCTTACCTTCACCTCCCTTCATCCCTCCTTACGCCGCTACTGCTCTGCAAATTAGTAAGCGCTATACCTGGAGTATGCTGCATACTCCAGTTTCTACTGCCAAAATAACTTATGGATTTAGGTAATGTTAAGTAGGATAGGTAAGGTATAGAACTGGAGAATCTGCTATATGCATTATGAATGCATATAGCAGGGGAGAGTAATCTCCCCCGAAGGCATAGATTACGTAGAACTGTGGGCCTTGGAACCCACCAACAACCTTCAGTAGCTGTGTGGAATCTGTTATTGCACGTGGTTTCTGTGGGGATGTTGGTGGGTTCCGGGCTTTGGGTAGTGGTTGTGGTGGGTGTTCTACGTATTTTATGCCTTTGGCCAAACTGTGCCAAGTTAAATATTGATGCATTGAGTTTACACAATTTCATCATTTTGGAAAATTTAAGCTGCATTCAGGTTATATTCGTAGGAAAGTATTAGCGTTCAGAATTGTAGTTGGTTTGATAGTCTGTAAGTAGTGAAGTCTAACGCTTCTGGCAGCAGACATTAATGAAAACCTCTGATCTGAAGTGAAGTGTTAGTCGGCAGGAAGGATTCACTAATATCTGATGCTGATGAGTATAGTTAGGGGGGGGGGTGATTTAGATTGGTATTAGTGAGAACAGAAGAATTAACCCTGCTGGGTTAGAAACCCAGAAAAAGAGGTAGAGAGTGGGTGCTTGAATGAAGTAGTCCTCAGGTTGTGCGAATGCCAGCCATAACTGGCAGGTAAGGCAGGTTATGAATTCAGGCTGTGTGTTAGGAGACTGGTATACGACAGGCCTCTAACCAGTTGGAGAACCCATAATGTTGGTCGTTAGCCTAGTGTGCTATGATGGACGTGGAAGGGTAGGGGATACTGTTGCCTTAATGATCCTAACATGTTAAATTTGGATGCCCTTCAAGGGGTGTCTGTACTAGTGAAGGTATCTTGTTGCAAATACCCTCCCCTTGAATCAAACCTGGTTGCCTAACATTTCCCAAGCTGTGTATAACCCCTATGGGTAGTATATAGTTACGGGAAATTTTATTTGGGTAAATGTGCACGTATGTAGAATTGTTTGAATGGGAGGGGGGAGCGGTACTTTCAGGGGACAGGTCGATGAAAGTCAATCAGGTTTGATTCAGAGGAGAGTAAATCAACTTACACTAAAGTTTTTTTGTTTTTTTTTTTTCCCAGCGAGACACCTACGTTTAAGGAATATTTGGAGTAGGTTTGGCAAGGTTGTAATGAATCTGTTACGGGGGGTTTACCCTCTGACTTTTCTAATTGCAGCAGAATCATCCTGACAAGACAGAACTGGAGACGAGAGGTGATCATAATAGTCTGTTAGATTTGTGCACGCAGAAGTGTTTGAAGTGAAGATACTTTCCACTGCCCAGAGTCGCAACACTTGTGTTAGCGTCTTGACAATACAGAAGTCATACATTTTTAAATTTAATCATACCTCAAACTACTAATAATGGCAGTATTGGGGCTATCCGCCTCATTGCTACTATTGTTAGTAGGGTTGAGGTAGGTATTTTTTTTTTTTCCCTCGAGCTTAAAGCTCCCGAATTGTGTGAATGTTGTCCTGCTGACAAATACAGCAGCTGAGGCGTGTCTCGGTTTTTTTTCTATTTTGTGTTCCTTGAACACCTCTGTGTGTTCCTTTAACATTTCTTGTGATAAAGAAAGACTATTCATTTATTACATTTTAATTAATGCTCTTAAGTTTATCGAATCTTGTAGGTTGAAGATATTCATGTGGGCAGCTGCTGAGTGGTGAAGTCCGTGTTGTGGGCAGCCGCAAGTCTTCGGAGATGTCATACCCAACAGCGACACGTCAAAACAATGTCTGCAAAGATAAAAGTATGGACATTACTATATTATTCATGAACTGCAGTAAGAATTTGAAGTCTTACTACATATTTAGAATGCTTCCCTCAACATTCTGTAGAAATAAAAATTGCTAAAATATTTTCAAAGCTAATCCATCAAAAATTACCATGAAATTGGAGTAATCAATTTTTTTTTTTTTTTTTACCACAGGTTGATGGAGGTGGAGGTGTTGATGGTGTGGTGGATGGCAGAGGAGTGACTAGTAGCGCCACTGTTCTTGACCTCCATGGCTAAATGGCGCCATTAACCTGTGGACGGGGGGGGGGGGGTGATGACGCAGTGATTGTTTGTGGGGAGGGGGAAGGTCGTTAGGGAAAGGGTCGGGGGTTGGCTGCTTGTGGAGGGGTATTTTGGGGTGAGTAGTTGTTACTGATGGGAGGGTGATTGGGAGGGGGTAGCGGGGATGGTTGTCACATGGTAATTACTAAGGGACTAACACAGTCTTGTTCTGTGTGGCTTCCTTGATGTTGGGGTTACGTATTTGATATCTTGTGGGTTTAATGCTTAGTTTTGATAGTAGTGATGGTACTTGCTGACCTGGTAGACGGCATAAGCTGCCTTTAGTGCCTCATGCAGGATGATAAAGTTTAATAATGGAAATACAAGGACCCCAGTGGAAATAAGTCACTTTTTTGGGTTATCCTAGGTAATCTATACGTTTGCTGCTATGTATAATTTATGTATGTGTGCCTGAATGAACTTGCTAATCACCAGTCTTAATCCTTAGTAAGCAAGTATATTTAGGTACAGGTACGCATTATCATGCATAGTATAAATTACCTAGGATAACCCGAGGTTAAAGTGCCTTAGTTGAGTTTTAATTATCCCGAAATGTGTTGCATACGAGTGGCTGCCTTTTGTGCCTACCAGTGTCTTATTACATGTAAACTATATTGTTTTCCTGGAGTATAAAGAGAAACGTAAATATTTGAATGTAAATTTGACCCCTTAGTTTAATTAATATCTTTATTATGTACCCCATACCCATCCTGCCGTGAGCGGTAGTCAAAAAGATTACCGAGATACATAATGGGTCCAGGGACTGTACCACAAAGTTTTGATAGCTGAACAAGTTACCAAGGTAATGAACCATTAACACGTCCACACCTGATATTAGCTTTATATAGTGAGGAAAGTCCGGGTATTCTTTCAGAATGGTTTGTAATGTACCACTGAGGGAACTTATTCGGTCCTAAGTCCCACAGGGCAGATACGCCTTACGAAGATCACATGTCACGGATGGAACGGCTGGGTTGGGTGGCCCTTACACACACACACACACACACACACACACACACACAACACACACACACACACACACACACACACACACACACACACACACACACACACACACCTACACACACACACACCTACCTACACGGGGCAGGAGCTAAGACTCGACCCCTGCAACCACAAATAGGTGAGTACACACACACACCTACACACACACACCTACCTACACACACACACACACCTACCTACACACACACCTACCTACACACACACCTACCTACCTACACACACACACCTACCTACACACACACCTACCTACACACACACCTACCTACACACACACCTACCTACACACACACCTACCTACACACACACCTACCTACCTACACACACCTACCTACCTACACACACACCTACCTACCTACACACACACTACCTACCTACACACACTACCTACCACACACAACTACATACACACACACACACCTACCTACACACACACACACCTACCTACACACACACCTACCTACACACACACACACACCTACCTATACACACACACACACACACACACCTACCTATACACACACACACACACACACCTACCTATACACACACACACACACACCTACCTACACACACACACACACCTACACACACCTACCGACCTACCTACCTACCTACCTACACACACACACCTACCTACCTACACACACACACCTACCTACCTACACACACACACTACCTACCTACACACACACCTACCTACCTACACACACACACCTACCTACCTACACACACACACACACACACCTACCTACACACACACACACACACCTACCTACACACACACACACACACCTACCTACACACACACACACACACCTACCTACACACACACACACACACACACCTACCTACCTACACACACACCTACCTACACACACCTACCTACCTACACACACAACACACACACACACACACACACACACACACACACACCACCTACCTACATACACACACACCTACCTACATACACACACACCTACCTACCTACACACACACACACCTACCTACCTACACACACATCTACCTACCTACACACACACCTACCTACACACACACACACACACACACACCTACTACATACACACACACCTACCTACATACACACCTACCTACCTACACACACACACACCTACCTACACCTACCTACCTACACCTACCTACCTACCTACACCTACCTACCTACACCTACCTACACCTACCTACCTACACACACCTACTTACCTACACGCACACACACTACCTACACACACACCTACCTACGTACCTACCTTCACACACATCTACCTACCTACACACACACCTACCTACCTACACACACACACACACCTACCTACATACACACATCTACCTACCTACACACACACACCTACCTACCTACACACACACACCTACCTACCTACACACACACACCTACCTACCTACACACACACACCTACCTACCTACACACACACACCTACCTACCTACACACACACACCTACCTACCTACACACGCACACCTACCTACACACACACACCTACCTACCTACACACACACACACACACACCTACCTACCTACCTACACCTACCTACCTACCTACCTACCTACACCTACCTACCTACACACACCTACTTACCTACACACACACACCTACCTACCTACACACACACACACACCTACCTACCTACACACACACACCTACCTACCTACACACACACACCTACCTACCTACACACACACACCTACCTACCTACACACACACACCTACCTACCTACACACACACACCTACCTACCTACACACACACACCTACCTACCTACACACACACACCTACCTACCTACACACACACACCTACCTACCTACACACACACACCTACCTACCTACCTACACACACACCTACCTACACACACACACCTACCTACACACACACACACACCTACACACACACACACCTACCTACACACACACACAACCTACCTACCTACACACACCCTACCTACACACACACCTACCTACACACACACACACACCTACCTACCTACACACACACACACACACCTACCTACCTACACACACACACCTACCTACCTACCTACACACACACCTACCTACCTACACACACACCTACCTACCTACACCTACCTACCTACACACACCTACTTACCTACACGCACACACCTACCTACGTACCTACCTACCTTCACACACATCTACCTACCTACACACACACCTACCTACCTACACACACCTACCTACCTACACACACCTACCTACCTACACACACACATCTACCTCCCTACACACACACATCTACCTACCTACACACACACATCTACCTACCTACACACACACACCTACCTACCTACCTACACACACACTACCTACCTACCTACACACACACACACCTACCTACCTACCTACACACACACACCTACCTACCTACCTACACACACACACACACACACACACACACACACACACCTACACACCTACCTACCTACACACACATCTACCTACCTACACACACACATCTACCTACCTACACACACACACACCTACCTACCTGTGTTGGCGAAGGTGGTTGGAAGGTACATTTAATTGATAGTTACCCTTCGAGGAAGAGATAGGCAGTTTATACTGTACCTGGAGTTTACCTGGAGAGAGTTCCTGGGGTCAACGCCCCCGCGGCCCGGTCTGTGACCAGGCCTCCTGGTGGATCAGAGCCTGATCAACCAGGCTGTTACTGCTGGCTGCACGCAAACCAATGTACGAGCCACAGCCCGGCTGATCAGGAACCGACTTTAGGTGCTTGTCTAGTGCCAGCTTGAAGACTGCCAGGGGTCTGTTGGTAATCCCCCTTATGTATGCTGGGAGGCAGTTGAACAGTCTCGGGCCCCTGACACTTATTGTATGGTCTCTTAACGTGCTAGTGACACCCCTGCTTTTCATTGGGGGGCTGTTATTGAACTAATATTAGAACTATTGATGCAACTGTTTACCTGGAGAGAGTTCCGGGGGTCATCGCCCCTGAGGCCCGGTCTGTGACCAGGCCGCCTGGTGGATCAGAGCCTGATCAACCAGGCTGTTACTGCTGGCTGCACGCAAACCAACGTACGAGCCACAGCCCGGCTGGTCAGGTACCAACTTTAGGTGCTTGTCCAGTGCCAGCTTGAAGACTGCCAGGGGTCTGTTGGTAATCCCCCTTATGTATGCTGGGAGGCAGTTGAACAGTCTCGGGCCCCTGACACTTATTGTATTGTCTTTTAACGTGTTAGTGACACCCCTGTTCTTCATTGGGGGGATGTTGCATCGTCGTCGGCCAGTAATGTAGGCAAACACTAGGTTATATTAGCCAGGGAGAACTGGCAGCCCAAGTTTGAATGCTGGGGCACAGGGTTTTGAGACCGCAGTGCATCCTAAGATCAGACACCATCGGAACAACAAGTGCCGTGAACAGCAGGGCGGTGCCCCCACGTGTCTTCACATACTAGAGCTGTATAGCCCTTGTGGCTTAGCGCTTCTTTTTTATTATAATAATAATTCACATACTAGACCTGGGGAAATCTGGTGGCGGCACCTCGAAGTACAGTAGATGACCACCTCCGTCAGGCCCATACAGCAAGATGAGACCTCCCTTTCTTTCTCAGTATTCTGGCCAGTTTCTGGGGAAAATTGCAAGTGAGTTGAGCTGTGGGCCTTTGTGCAGGTGGGTGGCCCATGACCAGTACATACCAGCGTCTTCTCGTTAGGCTTAGAAGCTAGTATCACTTTCTGAATAGTTATATTAGGGGATACACACCCCCTTGGAAACAGGAATTTCTGAGGTGCAGGCAGGTCGCTAATACCTACTGAATATTGCAGGAATTAAGGCTCCCGGTTGCACGTGGTTCTGAGGGGAGGTTGAAGACCGGGATACATTCTCCAACACCAAGTTAGTCCTTTATACGTGCATGCAGGCGAGATTTCTTGCAACATC